CCAATAGTCTAAATGTATATTGGGGTCTAGCCACAGAACGGTAGCTAAAACTCCTCGTATCTCGCAAAAGTGCTCTTGTCATAATCCACCGCAAATCCCAATTAAGTGTACCCAAAACGCGAAACCCATAAATAAGACATAGTATATATTGTAAGCCATAGTATATATTAGGGTCTGTAGATGTTACTCCATGCATGGGTTTTCCACACGCTTCCAGGCCGTTCTAGGGGGCTGAGGGGCCTCCAGGGGCTTCCTGAGGCTGGATGCCTCGGCGAATTCCTATTTGGGCTGGGTTTGTAGGCTTAATGAATCGTAAACCCGAAGCGTTTAGGGTTCAAGGTTTACGGTTCAGGGTTTAGGGTCCAGGGTTTAGGAAAGAACCCTAAACCCTAGACCTTCAATAAGAATCCAGGGCTCCGAATGGCAAAACAAACCCTAAACCCTGAATTATGATGTCCAGACTCTGGGGCCCAAGGCACGTAGCATTTCTAGGCTTTGAGCCCGGGTTAGGATAAGAGTTTAGGGTTGAAGGTTTAGGGCTTAGACGTCAGTGCAACAAAAGCAGTCGCTAAACCCTAAATCCTAGACCCCAAACCCTAGATCCTAAACCCTAACTCCCAAACGCTAAATCTGAAACCCTAAATCCTAAACCCTAAGCCCTGAACCCTAAATCCTAAACCCCAATGAAATCCCAAACTACCTAAATCCTAGGCCCTAAACCTAAATCCTCGACCCTAAATGCTGCATCTTAAATCCTTAACCCTAAAGGCCAATCAGGCCTTATATGAGACCATGGAGCCATTGAAACAAATTTATTGCTACTGGAGTTTCGGGTTTAGGGTTTAGGGCTCCAGGGTTCTCAGGTTTAAGGTTCAAGGGTTTGGAGTTGTGTATTACAGTCTCTACTTTGGTTGCTTTGCCCTTAGTCTCGCCTCTTTTCTTCCTTGCCAAGATGATGTACTCATCACATGCAGTTCAACCTTCGCCCCTCAAGATTTCCGGGATCAAGACCTTAATGTGTAGCTTACAGATAGGATTGCTAGGCAGTATGCCATTTGGACTTTCAGGGCTGAAGTCAAGGACCTCCCCAATGTTCCCACAAAAGACTCATGTAACTCTTCTCTGGGGGCTATTGGGGTTATATGGTAGTTAGCCTTATTATCCATGATTTTGGGAAACTCTCATATAGGGTTTGTTTGAGGGTTTCCCTAAACAAGAGGTACCCTTTTGGGGTCCCAATAGAAAGGAATGTAGGATTTTGCGCTCTGTATTGGGGTCCCCCAATTCTGGGAAACTGTTATTTAGCCAATGTAGGCCTCCTTGAAGGGAATCTGCCGGAGGAGCATCAGAAGCTGCATGACTCACTGCAAGCACTGACCCGGAAGATGGTCCGATACTCGTCAGCGCTTATTCTCTTTAGCATGTTTCTGGGATATTCCTGGGAACGACTTCTAATGTTTAGGGACAATAATCCCTGCATAATCCCTGAAAAGCCCAAATGCTGATCTTTATTACTGGCCCCGAAATCTTTGCTAGATCAAGATACCTAACCCCAAAACCCTAAGCCCTAAACCCTAACCCCCAGGTTTGTTAAATGTCGTGAATGGTGGAATCAATCGAGATACAACCCCCAGCATCCCCACGAACCATTCTCCCAAGTATAGTCCCCCTTAAGTAAATAGAACTTGGGGTATATGGGAATCTTATTATAATATACCCAAAGCCATATTCGAGCTACTTAAGGGGGACTACAAGTCTTTTTTCAAAGGAAGTATAGGGGTATCGACACAGCTCGCACCCACCGCTCCCTCAGTCTCACGAGGGTTTTCGCAGGACGTGCATTATGGAGCTCATCTTACGGGCCCGTATGCCAGACACATATACGAGTACCATGTTTCCGGTTATCTTTCAGTGGGAAGAGCAGTTTTGAACTCTCTTGGGGCTTCATAGTCAGTTTGGCGGCTTCCAAGTCAACTTAAGTGCCCTTGAGGCAGGCTTATCGCTTCTGTGGCTTGTCCCGGGTTTTGGGTGCATGTGCCATGGACGAACTTAGGGACCTTTTTAAGTGAGACAATAAAAGAATCCAATGAGTAATAAAGCGAAACATGAAATGGAACCAGGGCTTCTACAAGGGTTTGTAGGGCTTGTGACATAGGAGCTAATCTAATGTGACTAGGGTTTAGAGGAATATTTCCATATATCTGGGCCCCAGCAGTAGGTAAAATAATAGCCCCAAATCCTTCAAACTAGCCCAGAAGGCTATTATTTTACAACGTTTGGGTTTCAGGCAGTCCAAGTTGCATGGCTTCATCGATAATATTGGTGGTCATGCTGGCTTCGACAGTATGTTGCTCAATCTTGGATGGAGAGTCATTAGGATTTAGGGTTTAGGGTTTCGGTTTTTTCTGGCTTCGATCTCATGCTTCCCGTGAAGAAGTGGATTTTACTGAAACTGCGTCGTCTCCGAAATCCAGGTTTCATACTCCCATAGGGTCCATGTAGGTATAGGGTGTATACTTAGGGCCCAAAGCGGTAACCTATACCTACTTTAAGGCCCAAGTATATACTATGTAGCTACATGGGCCCTATGAGACCGTGCTAGCTTCCCAGTGCCCTAGGGCTAAATCCCAAGACCTAAAACCCGCCTCTTTGTTGGGCTCCTGAGTGGGGCAAGGCCCCTCCGCGCATACATGTTTCCACAAGCCTGAGCAACTTTGCAATTGTCCCAAATACTAAAACCTGTACTTCCGAACCTTATAAGCCTTGTGGACAGTGTGCAGCTGAACCTCAACCCCCCGAGCCCTAAACCATTGCACGGCAAATGCTCTGTACTTTCAAGAACTGAGGAATCCAGGCTTTGTTGGAACATAAGAGCAAGAAAAATAATATTATACAACGCTATGCAATACAGTAGTTTCCATGTTCTTTTCCATTATTCCCTATAGTAGTCGCCTATCTAACCCCAAATATACTACAACATCCGCAGATTAAGGAGCTTGGGATGTTAGGTTGAGGAGACAAGGCAAAGTACAGGCATGCTGGACTACTTGCAGGGGTTATATACGGGTTTTATAGGGTTATGTAGGGATATACAATATGGGGTTTATAGGTTTCAGGGTTTGGGGTTTAGGGTTTAGGGCTGGGTGTTTGACTCCGGATGACGTACAAGGGGTTCGTTAAGGGGTGCTCTGCTTTTGTTTTGACTCATTTTGCCCTTCTGTGGCTCTTGCTGGGACCTGACGGTGTGAGCCTGTGGAAAAATCCTCATCGTGCAAGTTAAGGAACACAACCCTAAACCCTAGTTATGGAAAACCCTGTGACAACCCTGACCGTGACACTGAACCCCCTTGGCAGCCCCTGAACCCTAAACCCTAAACCCCTAAACCCGTAAACCCGAAGCCCTAAACCCCATCAGCCCAGACGAAAGCTCTTTGCTGATTTACCGCAAGCACAGCTCCGATATCGTAAAGGCTGCGTAGCTTCTTCAGCATTTGCAGCCTTTCTAGGTTTTACGGTTCAGGGTTTAGGGTTTTCTAGGGTTTTCTAGGGTTTAGGGTTTCTGTCTTTGAGTAGCTAAGTGGGTAGCCTCTAAACTCAGGGGATATGCAGTCCCCCTAAGCCCTAAACCTTAGCTAGGCTTCAGGATGCTGGGCTTGGGGGCGAAGTTGGGTTCGCATGTGAGCTATGGTCTAAACTCCTCAAAGAGAGGTTCTATAGGGGATTATATACGGGAGTGTTATAGAGTTATTAAGGGGGGTGCTAGGAATTTAGACCATAATCCTAAACCCTAAACCATAGCTCATGTAAAGTTGCTAAGGTGGTTTTAGACGGGTTTACGGGTCTGGGGGTTTAGGGTCTAAGGTTTCTGGCAGTATCTGGGGATTTCCGAGAGTAGGGATTATATTTTCCAACAAATAATGGATAAGAAGGGTTTAGGGTCTTTCGAAAGTTGCAAAAACTCAGCACATTGTTGGAGGGTTTGAGGTCTACCCTAAAGCCTTAGGGCCGAGCGAGACGGCGAGCAACAATCAGGCCGGGTCTGGCGCTGGGAAATTGGTTTTGGATGGAGTCCGTGTAGAGGATCCGGGGTTCAACGTCAAGGCTTTTCACGGGGCGATTTAGGGAGTCCTTCACTTGCATCCGTTAATGGCTGCTACAGCTGCAAAAGCAGGACCAACAAGACCTCGGAAGTGGGCACTTCTGAAACCGGGGGGATTCCTGCCCCCGCAATGGCCATGAGGTCGAGGTGACTGGTCGTGATTGGTGGTCGCAAACCATTGTGGTCAGACACCCAGCCAGAGGGGAACGCAAACGGGAAACTGGAGGAGAACACCAGGAAGGGCTCTGGCTCTCAGCAAAGCTCGAGCTCCAAGTGCAACTCGTGGGCCGAGAAGGACAACAGCGAGAAGGACAACTGGTTGTCCGGCGTGGGCCGAGAAGGACAAAAGCTGGTTGTCCGAAAAGGACCCATCAAGTGGGCCGCACCTTCACGGTTCTTCGTCGTGGAAGACCAACAGCCACCCGAACAGTTCGGAGAAGACGAAGGTGGTGGCGGACGATGCGCACGATCTGTGCAGACCGGGGCAGTGCGCGAGGAACTCCTGGCGGACCCCAGCCACGAAGGGGGCGAGCGGCGGCGCTGCGTGCATGTTGTCAACCAACCCCCCCCCCATAAGCCACTGGCAAACGAAACGAGAGACAGACACGAAGCTAACCAACCAGGGACAGGGTTTTCGGTGGGTTTTGTCAGGGCTGAGACTTGGGGCCTCCAGCGTACACTCGAAGCCAACAAGCAACAGTTTACTGGGCCCTGGGGCAAAGTCTGACTGCCCCAGGTCACATGCTGCTCGATTTCCTTCGGCAAGGCCAGGGCGTGCTGGCTGTGGCCTAGCTTTGTCAGCTGCGACCCTGACATCATCATGCTGCCCAGGTCAGAAACTTCATGCTGGATCCCATGTTTCTTGGTGGAGGCCTGATGAAGAGGGCAAAGGGAACCATGCTTTTCTCAAGAGGGCAAGACAAGTGAAAACAAGACTTCAGAAGTGGGCACTTCTGAAACCGGGGGGGTTTAGGAAGTGCCTCTGGAAGTGCCTTTGGAAGTGCTATGGGAGCGATGCTCTTCTCCTGCTTCAGGCAGCGGGCGGCTGGCCTTTTGAGCGGGGGCCTTGGTCGATTGAAGCATTGGAAAGGCGCATTGCACTCAAGTATGAGAAATACAACTGTGGCCGCAAGTTCTTTTTGGATGGCAAGCTGTGAGCATCAAAACAGCTTGCTTGGTCTCAGCGCCGCGCCTCTCAACAGCAATGTGTCCACACATCCCGACAGGGCACAAGACTTGACTCGCGCCAGCAGCGGCTGTCATCCGCGTGAGCACTTGCATGGCATCATTCCACTACCAAGCGTCCACACCTAAATGCTCAGTACGTAGACAGTCACAGAGTCAGAGTGACAGTGAAAGCAGCGCAGAATTCATTTGAAACCGGTGAGCCGCCATCATGATACCTGGTTTCCGCATTGGCAGCGAAAGCTTCCCTCCCAGAAAGCCAGCTGTGCTACAGAGGGGCCACGCGGGAGGCGACAACAAGGAGAACTCACCCCCGGCGCAATCGTGCAATGTTTCATCCAGCAGCCGCGACATCATCGTGGTTTCCCCTGGCAGCAACAGCTTAGGAACCCCTTCAAAGAAAGCTGCCCATGAATCAGACATGTAAGAACCACATGTGGAGCCCCGAGTCCGCAAAGCGTGCAGTCTCAATCACCTACAGCCCCGCAGGTCCTCCGCTTTGCGACGCATATGTTTAGGGAGCCATACAGCAAGCTAAGGAGCAAGAGCCCTGGGGCCACAACCTGTGCATTGAGCAGCACATGACAATGAGACCCAGCTGCGAACCCTCAGATTTTCAGAAGTGCCATGGAACCAGCAACCCAGCACACCAAGCTGTGAACCCTCAAGTCCCCGATGAAACGCCTTAGGAACCCCTTCAAAGAAGGCTGCCCAAATGAGCAAGACACGTAAGAACCGCATGTGGAGCCCCGAGTCCACCAAGCGTGCAGTCTCAATCACCTACAGCTCCGCAGGTCCTCCATTATTTTGTGATGTGCATGTTTAAAAGCTAAGGAGCAAGCCCTGGGTGAGAATTCCATAAGTCCCGTCCTGGGGTTAAAATTCCAGAAGTCCCATGCAATCCCTTCAAAGAAAGCTGCCCATAAATAAGACATGTAAGAACCACATGTGGAGCCCCGAGTCCGCAAAGCGTGCAGTCTCAATCACCTACAGCCCCGCAGGTCCTCCGTTTTGCGATGTGCATGTTTAGGGAGCCATACAACAAGCTAAGGAGCAAGAGCCCTGGGGCCACAACCTGTGCATTGAGCAGCACATAAGACCCAGCTGCGAACCCCCATGGAACCAGCAACCCAGCAGACCAAGCTGTGAACCCTCGATATTGTTATGCTGATGCCCAGCTGCTCCCGAGTGGATTTGGGCGCGTGTGCCTCTGTGCGATTCTGTTTCCAACCTCCTGCCTCCCAGACCTGCCTCTAGCGCGAGACACAAGAAGTAGTAAGCAACCCAGAGAGCATGTTCAAGCTGCCAGTCCTCCCTAGCTACAAGCCGCTTGTGCTGCAAGCCCAGCTGGGACGCAGCCTTCTCCAAGATATTCTTCTTCAGCTGCAGCCTGGGGCGCCAGAGAATGCCCCAGGACCCAGTGGGTCTGTAGTAATTATTGAGTACGGCTAGCAGAAAGTGCGATAGACTCTGGGTGGGGGGTTTCTGGAGGGGCATCGCTGCGATAGTGGTGTCCTGAGTCATGCCCTAAACCCTGAACCCTAAACCCCCAAACGGCAGTTGAGCTTGACAGCTTAACTTAGCTGTCGGGGTTTGAGTGGAACCTGAGGAGGTCTGTACTTGTTTGCTATCCATCTCGAGCCTGACCAATTCTTCCTTGGGGGACCGCTATCGCAGCGACCCCCCCTCATGATCACTTGTTTTTCAGGACTTTCCCTCAGGCCACTACTGTCCATATGCTTAGCATTTGTCCTTAAGACCCAAAAATTCGTGCCGTTTAAGGGAATATATACGGATATATAGAGTTTGGGGCTTAAGATTTAGGTTAAGGGTCCATGTAGCCAGTAACTTGGTACTTGTCGGTTTGACCACTAGTAGTTGCAATACAGGCTTTGGGCAAGCATTGGATGATTGGGTACTTGGATCCTGAGTAGGGAAGTGCTGCGGCGGGAACATGATTGGCGTAGACACCCTACTCGTATCACACTCTGGCTCAGTTTCAAAATAAAACTTCCTGATAACCCTTGTTGGAAGCGTTAAACCCATGAGCTCCACGCAAAAATGTCCAAGGATTTGGGGCTCTTTGAAAGTAGACTTTTGACCCTAAACCGAAAAATCTAAACCTTAAGCCCTAATTTTTGTCCTGGATCATGTGGATGTAAGGCAGGGCGGGAAACGTGTCTGGGAGCACAGCATGTCGGCAGCGAGTGTCAGCAGGCATACACATCAAAGATGGTTCCATGGGTTAGGGTTCAGGGTTTCGTTCAGGGCTTTGGGTTTAGGGTTCAGGGATTAGGGTTTGGGTTGGGGTTTAGGATATGAGATTTCGAGTTAGGGGCGGGTAGTTATTAGGCAAGTAGTACAGGCAGATGCAATCCGCTTGCAGGAGGCCTACATAGACCTCGTATAGCCCGTCCAGATAACTTATATGAGCCGAATGTAGGGGGTACCCAAGTGGCAACTACCCAACTGGAAGTTTCGGGTAATATCAAAAGAAGTGGTTGGGCATAAGCCTCAACATAAGCCTGCCATGTGTGATCAAGCCACCAGTGCGCTCAAGATACTTTGTTTTTTTCTTGCCACTTCACCGACACCGGAATCTCTACATTAGCCCTAGAACAGCCCAAAACCGCATTAGTCCCCTCCCTCAGAATCCGACCAAGAACCCTTCTCATGACAAAGCTTCCCCTATGAAATCGATTGGTAGAAGATCTAGAACATATGTATGTATCTATGTGAGGTGGGAGTCCATCATTATCGCCGGGAGGAGACTATCGCTAAACCTGCAGGAAGATTTCCAAGCACAAAAGTAGTGTGAACCCTAAACCTGAATCCTAAGCCCTACATCCTAGATCCTAAGCCCTAAATCCTAAATCCTAGATCCTAAGCCCTAAATCTCCTAGATCGTAAACTCTAAATCCTAAACCCTGAATCCTAAACCCTAAATCCTAAATCCTAGATCCATCTAGATCCTAAACCCTAAATCCTAGATCCTAGACCCGAAGGCAGATTTCAAGAGCTCATATGTGGGCGACCTATATTGTGACACGCCCCTGGTTCGAGCACTGCCTTGGGCTTCTTATTCTCATCCATACTGCTATCATTGGAGTCGACATCCAGTTGTCCCTAGGCCAGTGTTTAGGTTTAGGGTTTTGGATTTAGGGTTCAGGATTTAGGGTTTAGGGCTTGGAGTTCTGTGTTTATGCTTGAAAAAGTTGAGTGTGGAGAGCTTGGCAGGTCACAGTTGAAGATTTTGGGTTCATGCTTGGCGTTGACTCTGGCATATCTTGTTAGATTGATGGTAACCCTTCTGAAGATCATCAAGACATGCTACTGGTACAGCCCCTATAGAACAGACTGCAATTTGACGACCTGGGCCTATTACCAACAGGATGTAATCCTACTGATGCAGCTCGGAGGATGTGATGTAAAATTCATATGAATCATATGAAAAATCAAAAATGTGCTCTCCAATATTCGGTGTGCTCCACATACCCCCTCCTTGCCACTTGGGGGACGCCTACAGGAGAGTAGCATCAACGGCTCTTTTGACTTGCCCAGAATTTCATACATCATGAACCGTGTGAGAGCTGCTGCTGTGGATGGAAGAGACGTTGCACCACTTGTATACCCCATATCCTAGGACATTTGTTGTTGACAAGCAAAGATCTTTGCTGTGCTTGGTTTTGTCAAAGATCTTCCCCTAAGGTTCCAAGTACAACGTATATTCACATACTTACCCAAAATCTGTACCACTGCTACTATTACTCCCTAAACCCTAAACCCTAATTATTGGGTGCTTGGACCCTTAGGGTTAAGCAAAATTTTTGGGGAAAGCCTCAGACGCGTCTCCAAACTATCCTGAGCTGCATTGATGTGCCTGGAAAGCCTGAATCCTTTCTTGCGGGGTTTAAGTTTTAGGGGTTCAAGGCTTAGGATTTAGGGTTTATGATTAGGGGTTTAGGGTGGGGTATAGGAGCCCCCACTACCTCCGGGGTCGGTGGAAGCAAACGTTTGGAGAAAGACGCAACTACTGTTGACATGAAAGATCCTGCATGACCTTGTATATTATAGCGATCCCTCTATACTTAAATTAACAACCCCCCGCCCTCTCATATTAGATATGTCCCCTGATATATACGGGGGTTAATACTAGTATGAACGGGTTACTACAGTTCCAAGCAGTAGCTGAACCCGAAGCTTAGGATCATTCAGGATTGTTAGTAAAAACCTCAAAGCCTAAACCCTACCCCATGAAACCACAAAATCTATATAGCTAGAGACATCGCAGAACAACATATATGTCCCCATATACCCCTTTAACGATACATCCGATCACGTGGGATGTTTAGTTTCAACTGTAGCTAGTCCAACCGGTTCTGAAACCCCGGACCATAAACCCTCCATCCTAAACCCTAACCCTTGCCATCCCTGCGTGAAGTATTCCGGGCTTCTATATGGCTTCTGGTGAGTGCAGAAAAACAGGGTTGCTTATTGGTGCATGTATGTTTGGGTGTCCAACTTGTGGAACCCGGACTTAACATCCTACTTCCGCGTTGCAACCCCCGCCCCCGGGTATGGTCCCCATTTAGGATGACGTGATACACGAACCACGAACTTTCCGTAAAACCTATCTAAACCCTCTTTTTTAAGCCCGTCTATAAAGGCTCGCAACAGGACCTATAAGACCCCATAAACCTTTATGATTTATGAAGCAATATAACATCTAATCAGAAGCATTCCAGACAATTGTTGACCTTTCTGTGTTTTCAAACCCCTTAGACAGTCTTTTGAACCATTCATAAACCTACTATAAACCCATGCGCCCCAGAAGCCTTATAGAAACCCTTCATAAAGATTATTTGTCCATCTAAACTCTTTATAAACGTAATTGAAACTGCGAACCCCGAACCAGGCGGCGGGTATCAGGCTAATCATACTCTAGATACTTGACCATTGGGAGGGTGGGGGCCGTGAATGCTGACGCATACATACCTCCATAAACCCTTTTCAATGGCTCTTAAACCCCAAGCAGTCAAGGACTTTGGACGGCAGTGATTCGCCATGGCTGATTACTGTCGCTGCTTGGTGGTTGTGATTTTTCGGTTCAAGGCTTATAACAGGCTTCAGGGCTTAGGGCTTCAGGTTTTCTGGGGAATGAACGAGTCAGATGGAACCATTATTTAACAGGATCAGATAGGGACGGGACTACTATCAGAAGCACTTCTCCATTTCCACACTGAACCCTATATACTCTCTAAACAGTTGTACGTTTGTTTCCGTGTTCTCTTCCTCTCTCTACTGCCCTAAGGGTCCAAGGACCAGAATGATAGGGTTTTCGGGCCCAAGTACCATTAATATTATAGTATTTGGGCCCTGAAACCCTATTATTTAGGTCCTTGGACCCTTAGGGCTGACCCCTAAACCCAAAAACCTAAACCCTAAACCAGCAAGGCTGATTTCTTCTTTCTGGCGTGCTATACGACGGAGTTTGTCCTGCGGCTGCTGGCGATGGGAGCCTTGCCGTGTCAGACACAGTAACCTTTAGGTTTAGGGTTTAGGGTACCTTCAAAGGGGGATTTTGGGGTGTACAGGGATTTATAGGGATAAGGGTTTGGGGTTTATAGGGTTAAGGAGGTATCAGGGGTTTAGAGCTTTGGGGTTTGTATAGCCTTTGGGTCGCAGGCTTCATGATTTGTGGTTTCTACAGGTTGGGTTTTAGGGTTTAGGGTTTTGGTGCTTGGGGTTTTAGGCTGCGTATGGTTTTGCAATACAACGCCATGATATTGGAGCATAGAACTGGGATGACCCTAAACCCTTAGACCTAAACCGTCAGCCCTGGGGGCCGACAATCCTCATCAGCCCATGTTTGACCTTAGACCCTCAGCCCTACACCCCAAGCCCTAAACCCTAAATCCTATATCCTAAGCCCTATACCCTAAGCCCTATACCCTAAGCCCTAGACCCTAAGCCCTACACCCCAAGCCCTAAACCCTAAATCCTACATCCTAAACCCTATACCCTAAGCACTAAGCCCTAAACCCTAAGCCCTAAACCTGTACCCTGAGCACTAAGCCTTAAACCCCTAAACCCCACCCCATCTTTGAGCGATGTTTTCGTCTCTTTTGTCTTCTGCATAGGTGCCACTTCTCAGCCTTGCTGTTCACAGGGTAGGGTCTTAGGGTCTTAGGGTCTGTGGGGTCTAGGGTTTAGGGTAAAGTTTAGGGTTTAGGGTCTAGGGTTTAGGGTAAAGTTCAGGGTTTAGGGTCCAGGGTTTAGGGTAAAGTTTAGGGCTTAGGGTTAAGGGTTTAGGGTAAAGTTTTGGGTTTAGGGTGTGCGTAGGCCTAAGAGATAAATTCAGACAATGGACAGCTGTCATCCGGATAACTTGGGAATTTCTTCGTCCTGGAATCGGCAGCTTCTCCCAACCTCCTGATGCCACACGTCGGAAAACGGTGAAGAAGTCAAGAAGACCCCATATGATCATATATATATATATATGTATGTATATATATATATATATATATCTGTATATACATACCTTCATAGTACTGCCCCCTTCCCGAACCTGTCTTTTGAGTTGGGCCAGGCACTTTCAGCAGACTTTGCAGCCCAAAAGATTCTAGACTAGAAATCGCGAGGCGAGATTGCTCAACGCGAACAGAAACAGTCAAAGCAAAGTCGAGTTTTTGGACATCCCAGTTTCAGGTTCCAAAAGTTCTGAAAACTTAAAGCTCAACTAACTATTGGTTGCAAGTCGAAAATTTCAAGTCCTGGGGTTTTGGAACTCCAGATTCCCAAAGGTCCGACTATATTTGGAGTTCTTGGGATTCCAAATTTCAGAAAAAGCAAAGAAAACCGAACCCTCCAAAATTTCCACGCACTTCGAAAACCCGAAAACACCCAAATGCTATTAGCAAGTGTTCAAAACTAGGTACCCCAGTAGTACCCCTTTTCCCTTTTTGTTTGGGGTGTCTCCTTATTAAAGCTGAATATTTGGAGACATGATACCCCGCAAAGCCTAAACTCCACACCCTAAAACCTCTGTTCAAGTGTAGTTGCGGCGCCTGGGTAGACCAAAATTTCCTTCTTCCGGCCCTATAGCCAAAACTTGAAACCCTAGACTTGTTTGTGTCCACCCTAAACCTTAAACCCCAAACCTCCACCCAGACTTTAAGCCCCCCCCCAGCCTAGGCCCCAAGCCTTCAACCCTGACTCCTAGATGCTTAGGGTTTAGGGGTTTAGGGTTTGGTTTAGGGTCAGCCCTATGTAAACCCTAAGATCTATAAACCCTGAATTGAACTCTAGACTTGTGTCCAGCCTGCTGGCCTGCCACCATTCGATTGATGTGCCTGTGTGGCAACCGATCGCGGATCCTGAGGTCGAAATCTCGAATATGAGTTTTAGGGTCATAAGTGCCTACATAGGGTTTGGGGTATGGGGTTTAGGGCTTAGGGATACTTGGAGGCCCATGGGACTTAGTAAGCACTTATAACTGGGCTTATAACCCTACTTATAATCCTCCTAAATAGGCTTATACGGCAGGTTATCCCAATTATAGGTAGGGTTATAATCCCAATTATAAGTGGTATTTCCCATGGGCCTCCAAGTACCCTGAACCCTAAATTTGAAAGAAGGACGGTCAGACAGAAACCTACACAGAGACGGTGCCTGGGCTAACCCGCGTTTTACTTACAGGTGCTGCAGGGCTGGTTTAGGATTTAGGGGTTTTGTGTTCACTTGGAGGTCCGTTGTACTTATAACTTATAACCTACTTAGTAACTGTGGTTATCACCTATTTATAAGCCCCATAACTACAGTTACCCTACATGTGATTGGGTTATAACTACAGTTACTAAGTAGCTTATAAGTAAAACGGACCTCCAAGCAGGCTTTGAAGTGAATATTGGCATTGCTGTAAGAGTATATTTGAGAAACATTTTTCTCCTAAGGGTCCAAGTACTTAATAATCATATACCTATCCATTAAAATTGTACTATACTTACTATTATCCAAAACCCAAGTACTTGGACCCTCTGGGTTCTGTAGATTGACTTAAGAAGCACTAGTAAGCGTAGGGTTGGGGTGCTTAGGGTGAGAGGATTTGCAGCGGGTTGGGTCAGGATGGAAGACAGCAAATTTGACCATCGGTATATCCCCTACTATAGATAACAACAAGGAAGCTGAGCACAACAAATTTGGGGACAGGCTCGCACTTCACTTCCTTACCTTCCCAGAAGTAGTATGGAAGACTATATAGGCCTTTGACAACACAAGAAGATCATGAAGATACTCCCTGTTTTGTGCACGTTGCCCCTAAACCTTAAAGCTTGTTAGTTGATGTCCTTGCCGCGGCAGGTGCAAGTTGGCTCCTCCTGTTCATGTTTATAATTCGACCGCGAGACCCTAAACCCTAAACAGGATTTGTAGCATGTTTCATTAGATTTCTGTCACGAGGTCCAGGCTTGGCACGAAAGCCACCTTAGAGTATAGCCCCTCTTAAGTAGAGAGATTATGGCTTCGGGTGAATTATAATAAGATCCCCCTCTACCCCATATTCTATCTACTGAAGGGCAGGTAGAATCCCTTAGCCCCTTCTGGCTAGCAGAATTTGATCCTAGGTCCGGCTGAATTAGCAAAAAACAGGCATGTATTGCCAGCATGTCTGAGAAGCCAAGTACCATCATGTATTTGAGGTGTAGGTCAAAAAACATTCACGGGTTCTGCAAGTTTTGGGTGACGGCGCCTCT